TTTTTTTTTTTTTTTTTTTTCCTCTCTAGCTCACAAATACCCAGTGTCAACAGGCAGTGTCAGGAGATCATTTCTATCTCATGTTGCACATGCTTTTGTTCCAATTCCTGTTTGCTGCCTGGGAGAGTTGTTGTGATTGTTACAGCAGCATGCCGTTGGGCAGTGTCAGCAGACGGCCTGGATTTTGGAAGCTGAATCTCCTACTATCAGATTTCTGCTTCTGGCTCTGGTGCAGTATCCTGATAGGGGAGGGTGGGAGGGAGGCTTTCCCTGCTGCTGCCCAGAGGTTTTCCAGTTAAATTCCCCCAGACATAGCAGCCACCTGCTTTTACAGAAGAAAATTTTCTCTAGATCTGTGCAGGGAAGTGACTTTCTATAGTAATTGCTGCCTGCTGTGGGTATTGAATAAACAGCAGTATTTTGCTTCAGATGATAGGAAGTGAACATTACCATTGTCATATAGCTTGTTAAAAGGGCATCTTATGTCGCAGTTACAAGCATCTTTTTGCTGAGTCACAGTGCTAATTAATAGCTTATTTGAAAAGGCATGCAGCAAACTTTATTTTCTTAAATATGTTCTTTGTATGTCTAACTTTTTTCCCCTGAAGTATGTTAGGCTCCCAAGTACGAAAAGTGATGATTTCTCTTACCAGATACAGGTAAATTTCTGGTTCTGGCTGTGCAGGCTGAAGACCCATCCCCTGGTCTGCTGGTCGAATGCCACTGTGACCTTTCCCTGACCTGTTCTGGTCAAAAGAAGTTGACCTAGGAAAGATCTACTGTACAAACTACTTCAAGCTAATTTATTCATTTTTGGCTGAAATGTGCCCCCAGGTAGCTGTGTTGAAACTCTGTCAGAGCGGGGCATTGAACCAGGATTGCACGCCTAAGCTGTAGAAGAGAGATGACTTTGCACACTAACAGGACGACTGCTGTGCATATATGCATCTTATTTATGTAACTATACTGTGTTCGTATTCAGATTGTCACCTTTATCTCCCTCATCTCTTTCAAGGCCCTGTAACAGAAATAGATGAATCGAGCCTGGTTTTTTTAGTTTTCCTCACTTCAAGAAGTGATGATCTCTTGAGCCAGAGTGCTGAGGGAGCTGACTTGTGTGGACTTGGTTGTTATAAATTTTCTGTGCTGTTTATAATTGACTAATGAATCAAACATAATATATTTTTTATTTGAATATTTCTGTTAGAGCTTGAAAGTGGAACAAAAGACTTCTATTGATCATGCTCAATTTCATATTATTTAGTTACTAGCAAAATGTCTGTGGTGTTTAGCCTGTAAGTACTGGACAGTACCGTTTCATTTGAAAGAGCTTCAATCCCTGCTAGACCTGATGTGCTGCACTGACAAATGGTGTGGATGCTGTGCTTCCTAATGAACGTAAGGAAGCTGGCTTTCCTGTCTGCCCACATCTTTTTCTAATTTTCAGAACTTGGAGCTACTGTCTCTTAAAAGGCCCAATATATATTCTTCATGTTAACTTTCTGTGCTGATTTAAAAAGCTCTTTATAGCTATTAGTACCTTAAAATAGGGAGTGCCCCCACTACCGAAGAAAGTAAGCACATATTGCTTGGTGTGGTGGATTATATGTATCTTTCACTAATGGCCAAGTAACAGCAAGATCCACCAGATTGCACTGCACTACAGCATGTCCATCCATTGAGCAGTTTCTGTGTTGGGCAAAATAACGTTGATGAGAACGATTTAGTTTAATTTCTTTAAATCGAAACTATGTGCAAGCAGGCAGATGAAATGGAAAACAATTTGGGTCCTTAAGTGTAAGACTAATAGAAACTAAGAAAATACATCAATAATTACTTTAATAATTTGACATAAATTCTTCATCTTTGCAGTTCAGTAAGCATTAGGACAACTGTACATGTTTAATCTCTAATATCTGGTCAAATCTAGTAAATAGATGTGCACACATGCACATACACACCCTTCTAATCACTTCAGGATACACTGTTTATCTATGTACTGTGAAAATGATGTGTGTGTGTCTATTTACTAAGCTTTCCTGTTGCCTTGAGGTCATTTAATCATAGCTTTCAAAACTCTAGGCACAACTAAAAAAAAATAGTAGGAAGAAAAGATACTGTTAATGCTCAAGGACTGGATTAGTGTGTAATTATGAGATTTAACTGTATCTTAATCAGCCATTGGGTAGTTGGCTGAAAACATTTCCTATCACCCTGTGAAAGCTTGAGCTATCCTCCACAAGCACATAAAAACAGTGGGCTGAAATAAGAGGGAAGCATAAAGCTGAGGAAAAAAAAGCTGCTACAAGGTTTATGAACTTTTATCTGAACAACAATAAACATTTGAAGATGGTAAGAAAAACTGAAGGCATCTATTGTCTTTAACAGACATCATGCCTTTTTATAAAAATAGAGAGAGGCATCTTAATGTAGGAGGTAGGAGAGTACCATTTGTCCACAGGTGGACAAGATCCCAGAATTCTGGACCCCAAAAGTGTGTGTGTCTGTCCATCCATCTCTACCATACCCCCACTAAGCTGTATGAACATGATGTGATCGTAAGAAACAAATGGCTTTTTTATTCAGAAGCTGAACCAAGTCTTTTTGCCTTACAAATGCGGACTGGGAGGAGGTCAGGGTAAAGAAGAAAGAAATGCTTGAACATGAGTGATACTTCTCTAAAGCCATTTGCTAGAAACTGCCGTGTTTGGCCTGCCTTCAGTGTAACCTAAAGAATCTTAACCGACTCCTTGAAGCGGTATGAAAGATGGCATGGTTTGTTCTTTGTTTTACACTGATCTAAACATGGGGCTTCATGATACAATTTCCTTTTATTCTTTTTCATCCTTTAATGGGTAAAAATACTGTGATGCACTTGTATGTCCTGTGAGAGAGAACAAAACGTATGTGGCAGTCCTTCCTTCCATTACACTGTAATGTGTTGTCCTGCAATGTGTAAGTCACTGAATGCAGCTCCCAACCGCAGCAGCTTTACTTCCCACAGATATCAGAGGTATTAAACCAAAGGTATTACTAACTTGTACAGCATCTCCAGAAGCTCTTGATACCTATTGAATGACCCAGTGTCTTGAAGTCTTACTTCCAAAACTTGTTTCTTGGGCATGCTCCCATACTTTCATCAGACCTGGTGTAGCAGGGTGCATATGCATGAGGAGTAGCCTTGCAGGAAGACACAAATGAAAAAAAGATTTTTGACATTCACTGAACATCTCAGCACTTGCAATTCTTTTCTGATTCTGCACTGCAGCAGAATGAAACGGAGGGTAAAAATGTAACTGGTCACACAGAGATCAGATAGCACACTGAAATCTGAACAAAATGGGCTTGAAATTCCAGAGCCGCCATCCTGCTGGCTAATTAGGTATTGCCTAAGGGAGGAAAAAATGCTGCCGTGTGCCTGTGTTGCCTTTTGAAAAACAGGGAGTGCTTTGTCACTGTCCTGCTTTAAGTCTCTGCAGATAATGTGTTTTCTTACAGTGGCTGAGACTACATTTATTTAATCCTTTGTCAAGTAGCTGTGCTCAGCTGACGTGTCGTCTCCTAGCAAATACCCTAACATATGTCCATCTGTGTCGCTGCTGTAAAAAGTATGCTTGCCTATTTCCCAGCCACCTAATTCTCACAAGTGACTCAACCATTTTCCTTCATTCTTTTCACCAGTCAAAGCTCCTGTTGAAATTACAATAAAGTCATGTTTTTCTCAATGCTACTTCTACATTATTTCCACCAAGCAAATTCAGAGTCTGTTTCCTAGACGTTAGAGTAAGGGCTTAATGGAAATTAAGCAGAAAACCCAGAGCCCCAAGTGGGCTCTTTCTTCATGTTGATTTGCTTGCCTTAATTTTTCAGATTGCCCTGTTAGGCACAGGGTAGCTAAAGGCAAAATGTCAGGCGCTAGCCTGGATGCTTAGAGCTGTGAACAGACTAGTGATTCTGAGGAACAAATGGGATGGGCATGGCTGGTATTCAGGGGGGGTCTTGATTTATTAAGCCACTATTGGTGTAGCTGTAAATACCTTGGGGCCTCTACAGTCCTCATCAGTGCCTGCAGCGACAGGCCTATCTGAAACTGAGAGGCTCTGGCCTGGAAATCCTGTTGTAAATCTTGGTATCTAGATAACTGTTAAGAAAGCACATGGTATGGGACAGGAGAGCTTCAAAGGATAAGCTCTGTAATGTGTACAAAAGAGAATTAAACTTTAAATGCAGCCAATTAGTAAGTATGCTCCCAGTTGGGTGGAGGAGGGGAAACAACACTCAAAAATGTTCCCTTGTTTCCTGATCTGTGAAGTGACTCCTTTTCAGGGTAAGTAGACAGAAATCCATTTTAGGAAAGGCTGAGTCTTAGAGCCAGAATGTTGTCAGGCTTCAACAGCCAGTTCAGTTGTAACTGGCAATGATAGAACCTCAAAGAGGGCTGGGATCATAAGCCCCAGAATTAAAATGCCTTTAGAAACTCTTGTGTTGAAAAAATGGACAGGTTCTCTTACAAAGAGCTAGTGCGTCCTCCATGGAGTTGCCTGGAAGTTCTGTAAGAAAATTTCCATTATTAGTAACTTGGCACTTTTGTGCTGAAGCAACTGAGCATATTTAAGGCTGTTACTACCTGTCTGATAGGGAAGGAAGACAGCAATACAAACGGTACTTTTTCATGTTAAAATTGCTGAGAAATAATTAAAAAAACCCAGACTTTTTCTAGGTGACTTTCTATCATTGTCGTATCTATCTCATCACTAAATTAAAGCCACAATGCTATCTTAAGCTTTCGAGCCTGTAAAGTTGTGACCTGGTTGTTTGCAAGTGCATGCAAATAGTCAAATTAATCCATTCCCTTCCCGTCGTTCCTTTCATACATGCCCAGCTGATTTTCTGAGGGCACCATATTTTGAACATTTCTCTGGGCACTTTTTAAAGTAACTCATTTTCTCCTTTTGCTGCTCTGTTTCCAGGATGCCAAGTGTATGACTCTGGAGACCTGAATTTCACTCAAGTTCCCAATGATGAACTGTACAACAACCTGATTTTGTATCCACGGTCAGTGGGTTTAGCCAGCCAGGTATTGGCCGATGCTGTAAGCAGAGCAGTAGCCGCTGGACACAGCTGTGTGACTATAGGAGGTGATCACAGGTGAGCTGAAATAGAAGCAATCAGCTGCAGCTTGACACTTGGGGTATAAGATTTTAGTTAAAAAGGGGAGGGTGGGAAGAACTTGGGGTCGTTTCCTGCAGTACCATAGGACAGCAGCATTTCAGTCTTATTGCTGGAGCTTTTAGGGTGCAACACAGAAGACAGCTACAAAAATCTGACCTTCTAAGGCAGTGTGGCTTAGTTCCAGACTGTTTTGTGATCTGCAGGCATACAAATGAGGTTTTCCTGTTTGGGAAAGTTTGTGTCATCAGGTCCCTTTAGGAACTGTTGCGGTTTCTTTATTGCTGAATGTTTAGTGATGTGTCTCTCTTGCCCCTCAACTCTCAGGATGTTGGCTCTTAGGATGAGTTTGTAATACCTGTACACAGACCATTTTGTAATAGATCTTACAACGTGTCAATCTTTCTCCTCTTTTTCGCTAACCTTTGGTCTGAGAATTGGTTGGAGAAGGTAGGGCATGTAAGAATGAATTGTGGGGGATGGTGTCATGACTGGAACCAAAAGTGGGTGAACAGCAGAAGTGATGAGCAAGTACACTAGATCTTCTAAGAGATCATTTGGAGCTAGAACAGGTGAAGATTAGAGTGTGGGAAGGGTGACATTGGAGAGAGAAGAGAGCTCTTTCTCATCTGTCTGTACCAAGTATAGTCCTGTAGAGTTAGTTGGAGTCTCCTGGAATCATGATAGTAGTTTGTGTGGGGTGCACCCCTTACTGCCACAGAAGTCTGATGTGTTGAAACATGACAACGTTGCTGACTGAAGCTGCAGAGACTTCCCAGTGTCCTTGTAGTTGTTCTGAAGGAGAAATGGTGACTAAAGTCTTTGCTCCTGTACTTGCAGCTTGGCACTTGGTTCTGTCAGTGGCCATGCACGGCAGTGCTCACACCTTGGTGTGATCTGGGTGGATGCGCATGCTGACATCAACACCCCTCTTACAACTCAGTCTGGAAGCCTCCATGGACAACCCCTCTCATTTCTCTTGAGAGAGCTTCAAGATAAAGTGAGTATGTCGCTTGTACAGTTACCCTGCACTGAAATCCTCCCAGCATTTTACTTTTTCTGTTGTGAAGTGCTTTGTTATCTGCTGCAAAGGCATACCTTTTTTATCTGAGTACAAGCAAAAATACGTATTCTTTGTGTGTGTACACATGCACATAGACACAGTACATGTAAATATAGATACACAACCACTTAGAAACAAGAATGAGAGAAAGCTTTTCTTTGTGTTAGCACCCTTGTGGGTTGTACAGTAAGGAGTTCACACAAGCTGTACGCCGCAGCCGGCCACACTGCCATTCCCGCATAATGAGCGGAGTTGGTGCTGAGGCTGTGCAGTGGCACCAGTTCCACAAGCTGAGCAAAAGCGGGAACCTTCCTCCCCCCCCCAGCCCAGCCTGTGAGAGCTGAGCTGAGCTCCCCTCTAGCAACAGCTCTCTCCTGCATACCTTGCACGCTGCTTCTGCTTAGTTTGGCTCTTCCATGCTTTGACAGCCTTGGGGCCTGACAGGGGCTGTTCTGGCATGATCGCTCCCAACTGGTTGCGCTGGTGTTGGCTCCGCTGGCAAATACTACAAATCGGAACAGCTGTACCAGCTTACGGGGTGCTTGTAAAGAGACAGGCTTTGTCTTCGAGAGGTCAGACTATCAAAAAGAGCTGGTTACTGAGGCACAAGGAGTGTGCATGGCCAGTTTTTGCTGCTGTCAGGATGCTGAATAGCAGGTTGACCTAAGGCCTACGTATCCTTCTTGGCTTAGCTTTACTTTTCCTCCTCTACTTACCCTTCTTAGACTGTATCTCCCTGTACCGGTATCTGCAGCACCTACTGCAGACCCTACAGCGGCAGCCTGCGCGCTGCTCCTAGCTGGGGCCTTTGCAGCAGGAACTCACTGAGGGCAATTTGCTTCTGCTGAAGCTTAGGCTGGAGCGTGGGAGCAGGATCAACTGCAGGTTGAGAATGGATTGTGGAGCTGCAGAAAATCTGACTATTTTATTCTGATGCTTTGCACTGCTACTCATTTCTCTTGGATTTCTTTTTTCTCACTGATAAATGTTCGGGGTGCTGTGTTGATGGAAGTATGCCTGTTCCATGGAAGACCAAGCATGTTTAATGTCCTTAGGGCTACTGAAGATACCATTGTGTTAGTACCTGTTTGGCATAGCAAGATGCTATCATGTAGTAAACCTCTTCTGCTTTCCTCCTGCGAATTCTTTTGAATTAATTCCATCCACAAGTCAGAGTCATTTGATGCTTTTACATATTCTGCTCTTGCTAATAATTCTTGTATGGTCTCTACGAACATGCCAGCATTCCCAAAGTAATGCAAAATTAGCGGGGCTTCTTGAAATCCCCCCAGGACATAAGAAGGTCAGTATAAAACATTACTGTATTTCTAATTCCTTGCCCATAAAGTTAAAGGGGGGGATATTTTTTTTTTTCTTTTTGGCAACTGTACCCACTTCTGCAGGAGAGCTAGGAAGAGCAAAAGAAAATGCTATAAATTTTGGAGCTCGCCTAAGGTGAAGAAGACTTTATGCCTTGGTGAGAACAGAACAAAGCCAGGCCAACAGCTGAGGAAGGAGGAGAAAGGCAGAATAAGACATCCTGCCTTCCTCTCTTGTCAGTAGGACTAAAGTATTTAATCAGCTTCCTGTGTATATGCTGTTGATTTCTGGTCTGCTGGGCTCCAGTTCTTGAGCAGCACAGAAAAGCAGTGTTTTAGGGTTTTTTTTAGAGCTACTAAAAGAGTACTGTGAGCTTTCTGGGGTCAGTGGGGGAGCAGGCCTCTTGCCAGCAGCAGTAGTGAAGAAAGAGTAAGATTAGGCTACACTTAGAGGTGAGTTAGTCAGGTGTGGTGCTGGTTATGAGCTTGTATCACAAGCCCGCCTAAGTTCGAGCTGTTGGGAAGCCTATGCAGAAACATGGTGTGTCCCCTATATGTATATATGTATATATCTACGCACATAACTAACTATAAAGTCATGCATCTGGCTATGAAATAAAATAAAGCATTTGGCCAGGCTGCTGTAGAACAAATGCTGGTGTTGCTTGCACAGTCTGTTCACAGTCCATCAGCTGCTACCTGTTTCTCCAGTCAGCTTCACAGAAGCACTGCTTGGTACTCCTTAAGGCAAGGTGGCACTTGGGGTTTCAAAGTACTTTTAAATTAGTTTTCTTATTTTAAGGGAAAAATACTTATGAATCTGATCCTTTGACTTGCATTCCTCAAATGAAGCATTCATGTCAGGGCTCCTCAAACCATTCCAACTAACATCATGAACTGCTGTTAGTAACTTCCCATGAAAACACCTGCACCTTTATCTGATGCCTGTTCAGTTTTACTATCAGTAACTCCTTTTCTATCCCAACAAAGTCAAAACAGAGCCTACCAAAGGAAGTTAAGGCATTCCATTTTCTTTATTGAACGAGGAAGAGGTATAATTAAAAATGGCAGTATTAAATCTATAAAATCATTGATACTAGAGAGTATCTGACAATATCATCAATACTGTGCTTGGCTAATGGTATGGTTAATTGAGTTTTGCAGGTACTGCCTCATTTCTGAGACCTGAATTGTTTTTCCTAGTGCTCTCCAATTCATTTATCCCTCATCTGAATTCGTGACTGCAGAAAAGTTTCTGGTCATTGCCCTGGAGTAACAAATACTTTTATTTTATGTGCTTATTTAATCTCAACATAATTAACTATAGCTATGGGTGTGTTAGCCTTTAAAAACAAAATCAGAATATAATTAGTAATTGAGCAGTGTAAGAGGGAAGCAAAGCTTTCTTGCTGCTTGACAGCTGTGTTGGCTGTAGCAGTTTTTGGAGCTGGGAGAGGAAGAGAAACTTGAGTTAATTTAAAGCACTCCTTAAATTAGTAGATACTACTAACTGAAGGATTTTTGTAATTGCATACCATAACTACTTAATTACCAAAGCTGAAAAATTATGACCTCATCATCTCTCATTTGCTGTTCAAGACCTGCTCCCTTCAGCTCTGCATTAAAAAACAGTACAATGTAGCCCAGTGTGGAGGCCCAACTTCTTGTCATGCCTTTTTTTTTTTTTAACTTCCCACTTTCAATTTGTCCATCTTCAACATTGTTTTTGCAACAAAGTTTGCATGACTTTTGGTGAGTCTCCTAAAAAGATACAGTTGCCTTGGTTTTTAGTCTTCAGTGAAGTATGCTGTTACATAGCATTACCATGAAATGCACTCTGTAAGTAAGTGATCTACATCCAGGCATCTATTTTTTTATCATTCCTCCTTACATTCACTGATGCTATTTACCTATTGCTTGGGGTTTTGGGCTTTTTATTCCTCCTCTTCAAACTGGAAAATGTGGAAGAGTTAAAAACTTCATCCATTAACATTCAGCTTGGGTACAGTGGTATGACAGAGGTAAGGGCTGATTAGATCAGCAAGCCAAATTCTCCAGTGATGAAGTTTCTCTCTCTAGACAAAGAAAGGATGCTATAAATAAATACAAAGTTTGAGGGAAGCATTAAATATCTAGTTACATATTAAACTAAGCTAATACCAAACCTTTGCTTGCAGGTACCACAACTTCCTGGCTTTTCCTGGCTAAAGCCCTGCCTTTCAGCATCTGATATCGTGTACATTGGTTTGAGGGATGTGGATCCTGCTGAATAGTAAGTTGATTGAGATGGAAGGATTTTTGTAAAGACTGAAGTTCTGAGCTTCTTCCCACACCTGGCTGTTCACAGGGGGTGCTAGATTTAAGGTCAGGCCAGTAATGGGTCTAAAAAATTTATTTTAACAGCTATATTTTGAAGAACTATGACATCCAGTATTTTTCCATGCGGGATATTGATCGCCTTGGAATTCAGAAAGTTATGGAAAGGACATTTGAACAACTGATGGGCAGGTAACAAACCATTACCTGATATAAACTACCCTTAACATCACTTGTTGAGTATCTACTTTTCTGAAAGCTATTTAAGTGAAGGTCACTCTTGATGTAAGGCAGCCTAACAGAACTGTGGCAGTGTCCAGTAAATACTGAAGTCTTAGCACTGGCTTTAGTCCTTGACTTCCACATCTTCAACTGTTCCACAGTGTTTGGCAAAAAGCTACGAGACAGGTTACATTAGTAACTACAGTTGTGGCTCTGGAGGAATTCTGCATTTTGCTGCAGTTGGGCAAGATGTTTGAATCAACTCAGAGTCTAGGGTACATGGTACGCTTCTAAAAATATATACAGCAGCCTGACAGTAGGCGATGTAGGAGCATTTGATGCTTTCCTCCTTAGACTCTGCTCACATATGCTGCCCTGATGACCGCTGCCACTTTCAGTTCAGCTAGTGAAGTTGACCATAACCATTCCCGGACTTCCTGGACTTAAATTCACTACAGAAGTCTTTGACCCTGTTCAGGTGTCTGGGGACACACGAAGAGGGTCAGAGTTAGAAAGTGTAACCTCTCACCACAGGGTAGAACAGAGTCCCGTAAGCAGAAGGTGGCCCATGGATCTGTGCTGCATGCTGGCATATCTAAAGGTGCGCTGACCCTTCCCAGCTGCAGCTGTGCCGAGTACAGGAGTTGTTAATCCAGCTGCCTCTCACTGCAGATGCTCAGCAGGAAGCTGAAAGTACACAGTCTGCCACTCAAATAGCTCAGCTGAGTGACAAGCAGGGTTAGGTTTATGAAGCTGTCGTGAGTTGCCAGACTTCATGGAGTAAGTAAGTAACTAACATTTTAGGTTTGAGATTAGCCTTCAGTTTTTCATCAGCTGGGCTTACGCAGCAGAGTCTGGAGGCAGCCTTCAGCTATTGATCTGAAAAATGCAGGATGCCCCATTCATCTGGATGAGCTATGAAATCCTCAAGCTTGGTGCTTCCTCCATTCTAGAAGCCCTGCAAATCAGTGTTTCAGCCTTTCACCCTGGCTTTCTGTACAAAAGGAGAAAAGGCCAGATTGTCATACATTCCTCTACATTTTTCCAACTAAGGAGACAAATACCAGATAAGATGGTTAGAACTAAAGTACTTGTCTTCAGCCAAAGATGCAGATGCTCAGCAAAACTAGAAAGACAAACTTCTGTACTAGGGAAAGTTCTGAGCTAAGAGATGTTTTGGAGTCCAAAGATACTAAAAAAAAAAGTCCTTTCCAAATGTATGTAAGACATACTGTAGGACTTAGGGGGACATTGAGCATGATGCTGCTTTGCAGATCAGCCTGGACAGTAAGAAATGCACGTAGAAGGAATTTAAGGTTCTGAGATTGCTTTTCTTGTTTTGTTCTGTCTCAGGAGACAGAGGCCAATTCACCTGAGTTTTGACATTGATGCTTTTGACCCCTCACTGGCTCCAGCAACTGGAACTCCTGTTCTAGGTGGATTAACCTACAGAGAAGGCATGTACATTGCAGAGGAAATACACAACACAGGTAGGAGTCGACCAGCAGTACTGGACTAAGCAAGGACAGGACAAACTACACAGAGCTCATTGATGATCTTCCTGTGTAACTAGATAGTAAGATAAACGTAGTCAAAGCTAAGGTGCCTGCAGTGTCCATATAGCCTTCAATAAGGAAAAAAGAAGGGCTAGGGTTCAGCCCTAGCCCAGGTGTTGGAAGCAGCGTAATCATCGACAACTTCAACTTAGCAAAAGTAAATCAAATCCATAATATATTAACTAATGCCAAAAATTACTTGGTCATCTTGTAGAATACTGTCCCCTATTCCTAAACACATGAGGTGAGATGCAAAAATGGGCATCTTGGAAAAAAAAATGGATGCAAACAATTTTTAACAGTTTGAAGTTCCATTCTAGGATTCAAGGCTAACAAATCAAGCTTTCACTAAGTATGCTGCAGTTGATTCAATATATGAGAACTTTCTTCCTTAAGCCATGGAGTTTTTATTTAGCGTGTTTAAACACAGTTATTTGCAGTAAAAGAAGGAAAAAAACCCAACCAAAGAGTCAATAGGATCGTGAATAGGATGGCAAAAAATACTGGGTGAGACTATTTTATATCCCATAGATTTTGGACTGGGACAAAACAAGGTTAAAACCATTCCTCTCATAAGTGTGTAAGGAACATCAAACTGCCCTGAATGCTAAAAGCATGAACGAGTGAGGCAGTGACAATGTAAGAAAGAAGCAAATGAAAACCACAAACTTGCATCTAAGAATGATAACCTCATCCCTCACTTGAGAGCCAACTTCACTTGTCTAAGGGGTAGAGTAGGTCACAAGCTCAAATACAGACTTGCTGGAAAGGAAACCCTATTAGAGACTTTACCCTTTCACAGTAAACAAAGCTGCAAATCATTTTCACAGGAATGCTTTCAGCTGTAGACATGGTGGAAGTCAATCCACTGCTTGGAGCGTCTCAAGAGGAAGTGAATGCAACTGCTAGTCTTGCAGTCGACGTGATAGCAACTTGCTTTGGGCAGACAAGAGAAGGAGCACACACCGCTTTTGATGAACTCCCAACACCCAGTTCTCCGGATGAATCTGACAGTGAAGAGCAAGTGAGGATTTAAGAACCCAAAGGGCTGGGTACATTGGACATTACAGAGCTCTGCCGAGGCATGTGAGTGAATAGATTGTCAACACTTGGCAAATACTGTTAACTTCTCAATTTTTAAATAAACTAGCTTTTCCACTGATCAGTGGCTACTTTATTACATACCAAGATTTATTCATTTAGTTAAATATATACAAATTGAGACAATAAACTATTTATTACCTTCTTGTTAATCTTACCAGTAGTTCAAGTCTGTCTCTTGTGTTTTCCTGTTACGCCCATTCTCTGTCTTTCTAGTATCAGTACAGTTTCATGCTGTCTTGTGAGACAGTTCAATCCTCAGACACTCAAAGGGAACAGACAGCCCATCCAGTTCCTCAAGAGTGGAAAAGCTCATCTCAGTCATGAAGATTCATCTGCTGCGAAAGAACTTGTAGTAGACAACACCTCCTAGGATGGCTAGCTCCAGGACGATGATAATTGACAGCAACAACTTATTAGTGGTAACTCTAGAATTTTAAAAAAAAAAATCCAAAGATAGCTTTTTTCCCCCCCACCTTGATTATGAAAGCAGATTCTAGATAATCTGATCACCCTCGTACCTTCAATAGGTATAGTCCCTGTTTCAGCTAGACCCCAAAGTGCTATTCAAATAGCTCTTTAACAAGCAGAAAGGGACAAACTCTGTAGTTTCCTACTCATGTTTTCCTGGAAATTCTGCTTAAGTCTTTACTTCAACAGTAGCAGTTCTGTTCCTCTTCCCCCACCCTGCATAAGGCAGATCATTCTGGTCTGTACATGCCTTCTCAGTCCATTAAGGAAAGAGGAAAACAGCTGCTGAACTCCCGTACTAAACCCTGTGGTGCTTTTACTTGGAACCATGTAGTAGAAAGCAAAACTATGAAACCTCAAAATAACATACTTCTACTATTGAAAGTTACACAGTTGCCATCACTGCCTTCAGCACTGGGTATAAGGGAAAGGTTGTTAGGCCAGAAGTACCTACTGGAAATATCCCTATAAACCCAGGTCACAGGGTATAATTAAACTGTATAGTTAAGAAACTGTAAATACACTGAAGCAGCCAAGGCTTTAATTATCAAAATAATATATGGTCAGGCTCAGAGTTTCTCACAGGAACGTCTAGCTACTCCAGGGCATTACTGCAGGCCAAACACATTTGTCCGTGTCATCAGCCATCTCACATGCTTAGTGCTGCAGTGATTTATGGCACAGCTTTTTCCAGCCTCAGTAACAAGGAGTTGCATCTGAAGTTACCATTAACTTGCTTACATCCTCCCTGCAATTTATCATGTGAGAGAGATGGTTAAAGACCCTGTATTACCCTAAATAAGCAGCACAAATTCAGTAGTGTTCAACTACCTCTACTCCATTAAGTAATTGCCGGAGGGGAGAAAAGACAAATTAGCATCGGCACATGGGCGCACCTTCTCTTTACACATTCCCATACCACCTCCCAGTCCCAGCTGACACTCCAGTCTTTATTTTTTTGCCTGAAACTGGCAGGCAACTGTGCCACCTGCCGAGTGCTGCACCAGGCCAGTTGCACTACTCACCTCCTGGACATGGAACGTAGAATCTTGCGACTCCTGCTCAAGTTCTCGCTTGTATTCACCAACTAAGAAGAACCAAAAGTTATCTGTCAGTTGAACAAGTATACAGCTACTCTGTAAAGATGCACCTGGAAGGAGTTGGCGTTGAAATGTTGCAATTAATGAGACCAAGGCTAACCATGTATTCTCAAAATTCAGATACAACATTGTTCGCCGCACACAATACAAGCTGGAAGCATTGTCTCCTTTCTAAGAAGGAAATAAGACAGTGTACTTTCCCTTAGATACATAAGACAATGTGCAATTTAGGACCACTTTCTGCCCCTTTAGCTAATTTACAAATATCAGAAAGTTGGTATTATCCCCTTTCATTAATTTATTCCAGTTGTTGACACCAGAATAAAATGATACTGACATGTTCTCCCCAGTGTGTATCTGGAACTGTCTGTAATGCTGTTTAATTTCCGGCAAAGAACCAGCTGCACTGACAGGTCTAAGTGACCCAGTGGATACGAGCTCTGAACTGTTACCAGATAATCCATTTCAGCTTTGTAATGCTCTGAAATGAGCTGTCGAGTACTTCTCAGTCAGCTATTAAGAAGCAGTTAATTGAGGTTAAAGACAATAACAAAGCTGTGGGATCCTGACGGTTCGTGAGACATGATGTATGGCTGCTGGAGGTCTCCAGCTAGAAGATTTCACTATTCCACTTCCAAACCTTCCCAGGCAGTGAAAGGTAAGCCAGGTCACTTAGCACCACAGACGCCTGCCTGCACAATTCCTCTGTAGTTTAAGTTATTGCTGTCAACCACGGAACTGGCCCTGTAGGCACATTACTTGGCACTGAGATGGCCTGCACCAAGCTGGGGAGAAAACTACCAAGTCCATTCGAAGCACACTAGATTTCCAATCTTTGCTATGAAAGACCAAGCAAGAAGAAAGTGTGCTGCTAGTTGGAATGTGTGGTTAATACAATTCCTCCACACAATGCCTAAAAGGCTCACAATGAAAGTCACAGCTTCATGAACAGTCTGCAGATAGACTGACATGCCTGAAGGGCTGTAATGGTTTTATTAGAGAAAGAATAGACAAAAACTATACCTACAAATCTTAAGATCTCATCTCCTTTCCTGCTCCCCAACCCAAATTTGGGAGCAGGGCAAATCAAATTCTGACTGAAACTGACAAACTACTTCAATGGAAAAGCTACAGGCTTTGTTGCAATGAGCAGAGACACCTCCCAAGAAAAGGGACCTTGCACACAGAAAATCCCATCAGTTCGTTACTTCAAAAACCAGATTCTCAGTTTTGCCTACATGCGTAAACAAAACAACCACACTACTTTTTAAAGCTTCCACAGTAGAAGCAGAGCTACTTAACCCAAGGATGAGGACTAGGCATCTTGTCTTTCTCCCACCTTAGCTACAAATACTGGAAGGTTAGTAATTAAGTAATGAAGCTTCTATTGATTTTGATTTCATTAGAAGAACTTGCTAACTTCCTCCCAAATCTAAACCTTTACTAGTAACTAGAGTTGAGCAACTCCTCAGTATTTTTTTTAATCTGCAATTTTTTCAGTAATGCTGTTTGGTTTTTTTTTTTTTAGCAGGTTCATAGGTCTGACATCCAATCTTGCACACACACAGAGCAGCAGACATTTGGCCATCATGATTTAGGCCCTTCGACAGTCATTATTTTCCTGTTATGAGCACAGCATAGAAATATGGCAGCCTGGATTTGGTCTGTAGAAACAACGATTGGATTACCATGTCTAGGGAGGCCTGAGTCATTACTGGCATACAGTTCCCCCTAAGCTAACATCAGGTTGTTTCAGCACAACGCCCGCAGCTTCTCTGCTTACTCTGCTCTTGGTGCGTTCCAGCTGCTCCCGCTGCTCCCCAAGCTCTTCAATTATATCGGTGCCAATCTGATCTGTTTCGGCAGCAATTCGGTGCGAGCGCTCAATGCTCTGACTGGCTCGGTTCAGGCTGTCTGTTCCCTGGAGAAGGAGCACCCTCTGTGACTGCAGATTAGTCTGAAAAATAATGTATGCTTAACTATTAAGCACAAAGACAGGGGTGTTTGTTAGCCTTCTGACATACTTAAAAGTTAGGCCGTGACTCTGTAGGCCATCCATTTGTATAAGCTGTACACGCTGCTTATGTTAACTGAGGTAGCCCAGTTAATTTTGAAAGAGTTCTTGTTCACATTGTAAGATTATGGCCAAATCTGGTTAAACCTTGAAAAAGAAGGACACACAGCTAAGGAGTTACAAAAACCTGTCTTTGCAAGAATTTACTCTTCCATCGAAGAACATTTACATGAAAATAGTATCTTTGCTTTCCAGAAGCTGACTCCTCCATCCATTTGAACCTAAATTCAGTCTTATTTGTGACTTTACGGTTGGTTGCCAGGGAGATCATTAAGAGTTTACAGTCAAAAGGATTAGGAACAAACAGCACTAACAGATGGGCTGCTAAGTAGCAAAGATCCTCTTTTAATGCCAGTAGCCTCCACTAGAAGATAAGACATATTTGCTGACCTTGGGGTCAAAAGGTAGCTCAAAATAAAGTATTTTCTTAAGCTTCAGAAAGCCTAATCTACCACCCTGCTCTCAGGTTTTAGAAGAACCAACAAAAAGGAATTGAAAGCAAAAATTTACCAAGCTACTGCAGAATGAGATACTAAGAGCCTCCCTCAAACCTTCTTTATTTGAGGCAGACCTCCACGAGCTTTCTGCACAGATTACATCACTTTGAAGATAATAAGCAGATTCAGCCTCACTAGCTCAGGTATATCTAAGCGTATCTGGTAAACAAAGAAATTGGCGTATTTCTTGCGGTGCAGCAGCACATCCACAGCGACCAAAGTGCTAGAGGATGACTTCCTGTATTTTCTAGAAATTATTTACTCTGAGATTGCTTAAAAGAGATTTTTCCCAAAGAACCTATACAGCGCACAATTCACACACTTTGCTAGTTTTGGAGACTAAAACTAGATCAGTGACCTTTCTTCTCAGCCAGTAGCATCACTTTTGTGTTTGCACTGCTGTAGGCGAATGACTAAATAAAGCATTTCAGTACAGACTGCTGGGTAAGTTACTAACCGCATGGCGTTCGAGGAGGTCCTTTTGATTATACTCCTATCTTTGGTTTAGAACAGAAAAGCTCTCCTTTGAGTTCCAGGTGGTGTTTCTCCTCCCTGAGATATTCATGTTACACGCAGAGAGATATACAGGGAGTTATACAAGCACAGAAGATAAGTGGATTAAAGTAGAAATGCTGTAAACAATACATCTGCAATATTGTTTTAAAACAATCACAGCAATGTTAAATAAAACTTCTATCTAGTTCTCACACTCTGTTCATTTTCTGTGGAGAAGATTCCGTATTTCATATCGCCTTGACTTCCAGGGCCCAATCCCAAATCTGTGCTTCTCATCTCTCTCTGGAACATGGAGAGGTCTCTTCTGTACGCCCGGATTTTGCTCATCATTTGGTTGCGGAAAGGCAGGGGAGCATACTTCAATTCTTCCTCCATTTCCTGCAGCTGTAACGAAAGAAAATGTGTTTATTTTTTAATCCAACAAATCTATTCTTACCTGCAGCTATACTCAAAACTCACCACTAGAGGAAGGGATTCACACGTTTTGACATGATTGGGC